TTTTTTTTTTTAAAGCAAAAATTAAATTTTAACTAACCGGTTGAATTATGAATTTAACAACTTCAACTTTATTGTATGCAGCAGCATTATGTAATGGTGTTTCTTTAAACTTGTTAAGGGCTGTCAAATCTGCGCCTGCCTGCAACCAGGAAAGTCCTGAAGTAAACACTGCCTCTACAGAACTCTGACGTATAATTCTTTGAAACACTATTTCAAGTTAAAACTTCTATATACGAAGTTAATGTTGTTAAGCGATTAAAAACAAAGCAAACATCAATAAAAGTTTAACCGATGAAAAAAAAAACACATAAACCTCAAGTAAAGCTTCCACTAATTCTCGGTAACCTTTGCTAGCCGCTGAATGTAATGCTGTATTCCTCATGGCTCGAGTTTCGTTGACGTCACAACCCGATTCCAACAAAAATTTCACAACATCAATACAATTTGCATCAGCTGCTAAATGCAGTACAGTATCCTCGGAATTGTTCCTCAATTTTAGCAACTTCAAACGATCTGCCTCAACTGAAGTGTTTATATTGAATTAAGGTTATCGTATGCAGAAAATATAACTTTTGTTGTTCAAAATGTTCATGGCAATAACGAAATATTAAGGTAGACGATTTTTTGTAATATAAATGTTGAATTTACTTTCTTCCATTTACCCTCCTCTTCTTACCATTTTTTTTATTCATTTTTACTTGAGTTCAGGTCAACAAAGTTACTGTTTCCAGTTAACTTTCTTGGTAGCAGGACTAAGAAATGTGAATACAAGTAACTTTTTACTATTCCTCATTGTTTACAAAAACTGTTCCCCTTCTATTATGCAATAAAATGAAGTCCCTATTGTCAGAGCAACAACTTCAAACACTTCAAGTACGTAATGAACATCTCAGTTGAATAACGCCACAATAGCATAAGAAAACATAGAAAAATTACTTACTGCTCATGAACAATTTTAACAGGCAAAAAAACATTCTCAAGACTTTAAGTAACAGTTTCAAGCAGAAATAATAACCGCTTAAAATTTTGGAAAATATCTCTAGAATTCCCAACTATAGTTTTAGCAAAAAATCCTCAAAAGCAAGAAAATCTAAGAAATTTAAGTGATAGAAGTTGTATAAAAGTTGTAAGGATTGAATGAGGACAAGAACTTCCGAAAAGGAACATTTTACACTTACAGGTGCTTTGGAAAAATTGAATTTGAAGTAGGGAAAACATAGTTTTGAAACAAAAGTTTCAATTTTTACTACAGTTTATAAACTGTCCACTCTCAGTAATGAAGTACAGGCACCCATTAAAGGTAAAAAATTTTAATCTGAACACTAAGTAAAATAAATTTTAAACTGAATCCTAATTTTCTCAGAAATGCGGTAATATAACGACAAAAAATCTATTAACACTATGTACAAAATTTTGTCTCCTATTTCACCAATATCTAAATTCAGATACAGCTGGATACAGTTGACTATACATTCCTATCCTATAGCTTTTAGTACAGAATCTTCCAAAAATTAAAAAAAATTTTTCTAATTTTCTATTGCATTATAAGAAAAAATTACTATTTTAATTTGAAGAAATCCCACTTCTAAGTAAAAAAGTTAACTGAAAATTACTTTGGCGAGAGAGACAACTTTTATCATTGGCATTGTCGTTTAAAGACTTTACTATTGAGGAATAAAGCTCTACAGCAATACGAATATAAATATGCAAAAAACCGAAGAAATTGTTCAAGACAACAGAAATAAATTTGATATGCAAGATTAAGTTTTTTTACTTTCTGTATTCTACTAACGGTATTAAATTAGAATTAGTAATCTTTTTGACTAACCTGTAGCTTCTAGAATAGTTTTTACAATCTTCAAGTTTCCGCTTCTAGCAGCTAAATGCAGTGGTGTATTTTTTCGATTATCAACAGCCATAATTTTAGCACCTCTATTAGCCAACAATTTTATGACACTCAACGAACCATGTGCTGCAGCCGTATGTAATGGCGCCATGTGATTCTGATCTATTGACTTAAAAATATAACTGTATAAACATGACAGTAAAATTTTAAAATTTGGTAATGGTGATAATGCAACATTTTATCCTAAAGCTTCTTTGTGTTCGCATCAAACAAAAGGAAGCACTGTTTTGCAACTAACGTTGACATCAGCTCCAGATGACACTAGTTCTTGTGCAGCATTGATATTATTTTTCATTGCAGCATAATGAAGGGGCGTCAGACCATATTTGTCTTTTGCATCGATACGTGCTCCGTTGCTAATTAGACAAAACAAGATTGGATCACAGTGTCTTAGCATTTCTGCTTCCTCATGTGCTTGTAAACCGCATCTTTTGGCGCCTTGTAATTTTCGCGCCCCAATTATTTGATACTGAAAATATGCCGGTATAATTAAGCTGTTTCCAATAGATGGCTGCTGTAAGCTTGTTAAAAACCTTGATATCCCAATTTAAGGTTTCTTTCAAATAAAATATAACAAAGGTTGATAGACCGATATTAATTTTCGTCTAGTTCCTCCAACTTCGCTGCCAATGTTGTAACGAGCAGCAAAGTGTAGCGGTGTTAACAAATCATCGTCTCGTGCATTCACATCAGCCCCTTGTTGTATGAGAAAATGAGCAACTGCAATGTGTCCGTAACGACAAGCGTGATGAAGAGGAGTCAACTAAATGTTAGTCTATCAAAGTAAGTTCTTTCCAACAATAGTTTCCAAAAAGCAGCATTTTTTGCCTAACGGTTTATGGTAACAACCTTGACATTACAATAAGCTAAAAAACTGCATTTATAGAACTTGCTGCAAATGGGTTCATTTGAACTGCCGGTCCAATAAGAAAGCTTATTATAAGAAACACAAGGAATAAACAACAGAAAAACGAAAAACCTTATCATAATCTTCTGCAGATAGAATAGCTTTTCTATCAGCCAAGTTAACATTATTGAAGGCGTCGATAATGCTGTTCAAATCACCTTCTCGAGCATACTACAAAAAGAAACAACAGTTTTTGCAATATTGATTCATAAAAAATAATAGCTTTCTGGCTGTTTACACTACAAGACAAAAGTCGTAAAATTAAAACAGAAATGATTAACGAGCGCTACTTAAAATATAGTTAATGACGGCAACAGGAAATTTAAAAATTTAAAAGAAAAATTATTCTCATAAGTTTCTTCAATAGTAAAAGCAGAACAATATAGGGTGTTTGCTGTAATAACAGCTTGTTGAAAGGATTCAAAAGAAGCAAAGTATAACTTTGAAATGCCATGTCCAGGAAAAAAAAGTTTTACGAATAATTATACCTATTCTACATGGTTATCTACTTATAACCACAAAAAAAAAAAAAACATGCTAAACCTGATGAATCAGACTAAAGTAGCATTCCGGTTCATAAATGTACGCATTGATACTGTCTGGACTTTGAACGTCTGGTTCATTGAAATCAGTTTCATTGACGAGTTTACCTGCACAAAAAACGATCTGAACGCCTCAACAGCACGTTTCAAGTTCATTAAACAGATAAAAATTAAAACAACTACCAAGTTCAATAGTAGTCTGGAGTAATTCAGAACGATCTTGTGGGCTGCTACTTTTTCTGTTCTTATAATTACGCTGGAAAAGTGGCATCAAGTGTTACCAATATTATCCTTTCTCGTCTTTTGATGTTTAAAAATCAATCTTCAGTAAAGAATGCAAACTAAAATATAACAGTTTAAAGAATCACCAATGCTGTAACCTTGACTGTTGGATTACATGCAGCACAGAAATGGTTATAAAATTTTACACTCATCGTTCACTAAGCAGTTTCTGTCGTTTTATTTCACTAAGCACTACACTGCGTTAACGCTATGTAAGTAGCCAAACTTAACCAAACAGATAGACTTTAGTGAACTATTTTTTTTCTCTAGACAAATATTTATTTCTGTTACACCAAATGCGTAATACCAGTAGTTATAAAGTTCTTACAAAATCATCTTTTTTTTTCT